TTACCACAGAGGAAAAGGGCAATTCAAATCGTCCCTCATTTGTTTTCTAATGAATGGCCTAATAGGACTGTCTTAAAATAATAATCTAACAAAATATGCACTACATTAATTGAGCACTCCAGTGTACCAGTGTGCTCCTGCGATTGTACTATGAAGCCATTAGTGAAAATTAATGACATGCAGTGCTTTGCCAACAAATATTAGGAATTCCTCTGTGCTGAGTCTAGGCATCTCTACTTCCAAAAGGGGACTTGAATGGAAGCCTCCAGTTGAGGTTTTTGAACCAAAGCTATATAGACACACATTTTTATCTACATAAAATGAAAATGGTTGAGATTTTCAAGAGAGTTTGAAGTACCCATATTCCACTAACATTCAGAAACAGTTGGGCATTTAACCCCCTTAGAATATTTTTAGAATCTCAGTGGTAGTTAACTATGCTAGCCTGAACTTAGGCAGAAGGCAGGGTAGATTTGCACCTTACAGACTAAGTCAATCAGAAATACATACGCTTTTGTAAGCAACAGCTTACTTCAGAGGCTGAGAAGGCATGCTTCTAACCACTGTTCAAAATATCCGTTATTACGATGTTTCTACCATATGCTTTCCATGTTTCACAGCTGCTGCCCATCCTCCCCCAGGTATGAAAAAAAAATTCTCTCTCCAACTTGTTGAGCCCCAAATGTCAAAGCTAAGGATTTGTTCAAAGTAGAAACAAGTTGGATCTGCTCCCCATCAATGGTTCAGCAACACCAGAGCTAGTAACAGTGCAAATGCCAGTGTAAACAACATCAGGTTACCACCGGTCACATCTACACATGCAAATGCTGCAGGGTTTACTCCACCGTAAATTACTTTAGAGCAGGGGTGGGCAATTATTTTGGCTGGAGACCTGTTTAATGCGTTTTGGTGAGCTGTGGAGGGCCACAAGGGTAGCGCTGCACTTTGACAAGTGCCCTGCCCCCTGGTAGCCATCTTGGGACCAGAAGTCCCAGCCTCTTACCCCTGACCTTTACCACCAGAAGTTCCTGCCCTTGCCCCGGAAGTACTCGGAGAGGGGGAGGCCATCTTGAAACTGGAAAAAAAACAAATCATATACTAAAAAAAGAAAATCAAATATCTACTATAAATTACTTTAATTTTTTTTTTTTTAATATTTTTGTCCTGATTCATGTGCGTTTGAATAGTGTACCTATAGGCAATTGTATAATTGCTCAAAATACAGTCTTACTCTTGTATACTGGGGGGGGTAAGGGGGGGTACATGGGAGGTGTGGTTAGGGACTCTGTGTGAATACTTTAGTGAAAACTAAAAGACCACTTTACCTCAATTTTCTGTAAGAACAATGATGTTGACAATGGGGATGGCTGCAACAGAGGAAATTTAGGTTGGAGATTAGGAAGAACTTTTCAACCATGAGAGTGATCAAACATTGGAACAGGTTACCTAGAGAAACTGTGGCATCTCCCTCTTTGGAAGTTTTCAAGAACATGTTTGAGTGACACTTGGCTGGAATTGTTTAGTTAGGAAAGATCCTGCCTTGAGCACGGGGCTGGACTAGGTGCCCTTGTGACATCCCTTAGAGCCCTACGTTCCTATGATCCTGTGGCTGATGCGAGTCAGGGCATGAATGTGGAAATGGTACTGGAAGGCAGTGGAAGCAAACTTAAGGACCTAATGCATTCAAGTTGTGCAAACTATCCCATTTCTATCCCAGTATTCTGAAAGAACCAGACATGAAATTGTACGTCCAGTTTGCAATAAATTATAAAGAACTTTGCCAACCTAATCTGCAAGTTTCTGTAATAAGATCATTGATTTTCTAGACAAAGGAAATGTGATAGCTTTCAGCCAGCTAGACTTCAATAAAGCCTTTGATATAGTGCTCTATGAGGCAGTGATGCTGGAGAGGAAGGGGGTTAGCAGAAGGACTGTAAGGTGGGTAAAGAGCTGACTCAAGGGAAGACAGCAACTGGTCATGAGAGCCCATCATTTGAAAATGACCAAGAAGGAAGAAGAAAAGGCTGTGAGTACACCAGATGAACATAGATAAGGATGAACTGCTGATGTGCTGAAGCTATGAGAAATCCACATACAACCCTTGGATGCATCACCAGAGATATTTCCACTAGACTCAAAGTAATAGTTCTTTTATACAAGACACATCTAGATTACTGCCCATATCTCTGGAAACCCCGTCCAAGAAAAAATAATTGAAAGTGCAGTAGGTGCAAAGAAGGGCTGCTACAATGATTGAGAGAATGGACAGCTTATCATATGAGAGATGACTAGAAAAGCTTGACTGCTAATAAAGACAGCTGGACAATTTTATAAAAAGGACTTTATGACATGGCATCTGCACTGACAGGCTACTAGACTCAGTGATTCAGGAGGTCTCTTCCAGTCCTACAGTTTTATGGGAGCACTGATGCTTGTGTGCATGTGACCAGTTACAGGTGTGGTACCGGGACCAAGTAGGGGGCAGCACATCAAATGTCACTCCTCTTGAAAAAGCCTTACGGTATAGTTTTCCAACATGCAGATCCTGGTGGCAAGAGAGAGGCTTTTTGTGGGAAGAATGAAGGGTTAGAAGGATGCTGCAGCTGTGAAATGTATGGAATGCAACTTACTGGGAAGATGGATGGATGTTCAGAACAACAGAAGGAGAGAGGGGAGCGGAGAAGACTCAGCAGGATGACAGCTGTTAGTCATCCATGAAGTCTTGGCTATTTATTTGTGTAAATTACATTGTTAGGAGAAGAAAATCATTACCATGATTTCTGATACAAGCTGGGAAAACTGTGAAATATCAATCCCCTCAAGCATTAAGAAGATAAATCTATAGCAGTAGGTCAGCATACTGAGACAGAAATAAATTTAGCACTAACAAGCACCCATAATATTTCAGTCACTACTTACAGTTAATCTCTACTGAGAAAATGTGCAATTCCTACCTGACTGCTACTAACAGCATAAACTGCAGTGTAGAGTAGACAAAGATATTTCTTTCATGTTTAAATCTACTCCCTGACCAATCTGTATGACAGCTTACACTGCTGGTAGCACCAGTACTGAAAAATGTAGACAAGCCAATAAATAAGACTCACTTGATAAACAAGGTACTTGACACAGTTCATCTGGGTTCACCCAATCCTAGCCTGCTGGAGTTCAACTTACTAATAGCTATACTCTATGTTTACCCAATGGTAGTGAACCTTTACTAGGGCAAATAATGTATTTCCATGCAACAGTACAGAAAAGGTGCATCTTCACTGCAATGTTAACTCAAGTGTTTCCCCAAGCCCTCCCTCACCCCAAATATACAAATAAAACTCACTCATCCAAATTTGGTGCCACTTTCAAACCAACCAAGCCAGCCCATCTGACATTATGGGCTAAAAGCAAGTAAGGCTTTCATTTGGGTGGGTAAACCTATCCCCCTTGACGTGAAGATGCAGGCTCATCAATTAAACGCTAGTTGCCCTCCAAAGCCTTCCCACACTCTCCCCCACCTATCCAGAAGCCCAAAAACTCCTCCTGTGATCAACTAAAGGAGAACTGCAAGCTTGATTTCTGCAGCACAAAGTATCAAAGAAGTCCTAGCAACACAATGCACTCCCCCCAGAAGTTCTAGCAACACACGAGTGAATTCAGCACCCATGGGGAAGCAGCAGTCATGGCTATGTTGCTTCCACACCATGCTAGGGAGCGCCACAGTGAAGCAAGGCATGCCTGCTCCCTTCATTCTAAACCAGAAACAGATATAATGTAGCTGGTCTTCAGAGAGCAGAAAGACTGCACCCCAAAGAGCACCCCCAAGACAAAAAGTGTCTTAACACAACACTGTGGCTGGAAGGAGCCTAACACTACATCAGTTTCAAGGTTCAGCTGTACCCAAAAAGGAGAAAAGCTAGGTCAGAAAACTCAGTAACTTAATCCCTAACACATTCCCCAGAGGGCAATGGAGATGACACTTCGACATCTAAAAGCAAAAATCAGACAGTATTAACAGGTCTGCTCCGAGTTATTTGCATTACCTTTTCTTATAAACACAATAACTCAATACTTTTAACTTGGAGTTGGAATTTTCAAAACTGCCTACTGGTTAACTTCTCATGCCTAAACATTTATGTATAGATTATAATTATACATTTATATATTTATTTCTCATGCCAAAACATTCATATATACATGCCTAAACATGTGTGTATGTGTGTGTGTGCACGCACATGCACACGTGTGTAGAAGGCATAGTTTTAAATACCTATATGAAGTGGAAAAACAACATTTTTGCGATTAGGTAACTGAGAAACAATTGAAAAGATTTTCTACAAGTCCATAAAATAAATTAAACTAAACATGGCACGTTTAAACTCAAAAAGAGATTTTTTTTTTCCAGAAAACTATAAACAAAGGAAACTCTTGATTTGAAAAGGAAGTCATAAAGCTGTTTTGTAACTTTAACTGCAATAATCCGACTATACAAATTATAATAATGTGGTGACTGTGTATAATGTGTTCATATCGTCACAACCAGCTGCAGAGAAAACCACATAACATATCTACTTTTACACTGAATGCACCATTCCATACGGCATGTATATACATACATAAACACACACACACACACACACCCCCCCCAGAAAGAAAGAAAATGACAGGACTTCAGGAAGACCTCTGATAAAACTTGTAAATTGGTAAGCACTTAACTGTGTCTCATTTTACATCACAAGCTATTCAGCATAATCTGCAGCATCAGTTTCACATAAAGCCACGTGCTTGATGTTTGTTTTGGTCTGTTAACTTACAAAAACCCTGAACTGCTGAAGTACTGAAGACAGTACACTTGAAGGTTATCCTAAGGCAAGTTCTCTCAGAGCAGCTTTTTAGTTAGAGCATGAAGAGTCCCTCCACAGCTAGTAGGCAGGCTATTAGCTGATTTACTTTTCAAATCTAATGCATCTTTCTAGTTATAGAAATAAATCAAATCTTCCTTTTACCTTAAAGAAACTTCCTCTTTTGTCCGGACAACAGGTTTCCGTTGTCAAAGACGACATCTTCCTTAGGAAGACTCCACTGAATGTCTTGAACTCCTAAAAGTAGAGACATTGTTAATGGTTAGTCCAGTCTGTAGGAAATTCCTTTCTAAGCCACAGGAACAGTCACAACAACAGTTCTGCCAAGATCTTTTTTCCATCAACAACACAGTGCCATTTATTTCCCACCAAAGCCCTTACATATCCTTTTAGTCTATTATTTCCTATAAAGTGCACTGCTTCAAAAGACAGTACTACTAGGAGTTCTATTCCTCCCCTTTATGACTGATCCTGTAATGGACTGGATTTTAATGCGCTCATTAAAAAAGAATGCTAAAACATAATGATTGCTTTGTTTGTTTTCTTGACCTCAGCCTAAAGTACAAATAGAACAAATGTTAGATGTCACCACAATCCGCTCACAAAGATTACAGATTTAATACGGGTGATTAGGAAGAGGACAAAAATCACCGGCAAGGGAGAGAGAACAAGTTACCATAAATCTAAAAGGGGAAAAAAATTCTATTTGTAGTTAACAAAATAAACATGAACTCTTTTGACTCTGGTGTTGAAGAAAAATACAGGGATCCAATTATAAAGAAATTCCATGTTCCACTGCAGAAAAATAGAATAAAATGTGAGTCGTTATCTGGAAAAATGAGATGTCTGCACAAACAGACCTATACCATAAGATGAATCAATAAATACTATACCAGATGGGTGAATCTGTAAGTATAGTTAAGTTGACAGGTCATTGTAACTCAGGTATGTACACAAACTGAACTAGGTGAGGGCTGAACTTCAGAGCTCCTCCTTAGCCATATTTCATGGTAAATTAGGATTTTTAATGGTGTTTTACTTGAATTTAATTAGTCCACTCATTTTGCCCTCCAAGTGATTACCTTGCAGTAGCTAAAATGTAATTGGGAGTTTCACCCACTTGTTGCACACTGCACATATTGGTTGCACAATCTATGCCATCCTACAAAAAAACTGGAAGTTTTCATTGGGATAAAAATGTAAGTGAAAAAAATATAGTGCCCTGAATAGCTTTAAAACCGAAAAGTTTACAGTGGCACAGCTGCAGATTAAACCTGACCGATAGTAGTAGCCAAGCCAAAAATTTCTGAGAGAGCTGTTAAAAAAGGTGGGGAGGGAAAACTAGTATTGCTTTCCTTTACCGGCAGCATTAGAAAGAACTAGGAAAGGCAATAACTTTCCTCCGTTGTCCCCAAGAAAAACTGGCAACTGAAAGGGCTAAAAAGTGAACAAGCTGCAAAAAGATGATATTAGACATCAGGAGGCACTACTTCACTATCAGGGTGGCTAGGATCTGGAACCAACTTCCAAGCGAAGTGGTGCTGGCTCCTACCCTGGGGGTCTTTAAGACAAGGCTAGACAATCACCTTGCTGGGGTTGTTTGACGCCAATACTCTTTCCTGCCATGGCAGGGGGTTGGACTTGATGATCTGCTCCGGTCCCTTCTGACCCTACTACTAACTATGAAAAGCAGTATTTTCCTTTTCCCTTTAACATACAGCAGGCAGCTTGCAGTTCATCCACCCTAAACCTTGGCCCATTTCTAGAGCTAATCTGAACACAGCGGAACAGAGAAGGTTACATTTTTTCACTTATGAGTTCTGGCCAAAAGTAGAAGTACTAAGAAGCTGATGAGCAAGTCTGCTTTCAAGAGGCTTCCAGTCAGAGTTTGCAAAACTGCAGGATCTAGGACAGAAGTTCAATAAACCGATTTACGAAAATCAATTAAGTCTGATACAACATCCATTCACGTTTACCTTAAACCGGTTTTGGGTATTTTGAAAGCAGTTTATGTGCACTAAACTTCTTTTGTGTTATAGATTTGAACTGGTTTCTGATCACTTATACCGGTTTATATATAATTTCTGTCCCTAGCCCAGAGGTTCAAGAAAGAAAAAATCTTGAATTCTTCAAGCTTAACCAGACTGAGCTCTACAGGTTTACTCAATAGATAAAAAATAGTGCTCCTTAAAATGATCAGTGCTATCTTAAGACAGTCAATTAAAGACAGCTGAAACAAACCTGACTTGTTTTGTTTACATTTTATTACCTAGAAATCTGTAAGGCACACTCTGCTTCCTCTCCAAATCTCATATGGGTGATTCTGGTAAGGAAGAACATGGGTTCAGGAGTGACACCATATTGTCTTGCATACAACACATACCATTTTTCCAAAAAAAGATCTGCTGGAAATTGGGACGTGCATTAAGTAAGGAAATATGGTAACAATAGCTTCTGCATCAAGAGCCTCTGTGGGGGGAAAGATAAAGTAACACGTGCTACACAAGGCGGTAGCACAGTGAGTATGCAGGGCTCCATAGCTGCTGGCTGTGGACATTTTGTCTTTCCCTAGGCAGAGTC